CGATGCTTGGCACGGTTTTTGATTCGTTCTTTCAATTTTAAGTTTTGAATAAGGTACAGAAGGTTGACGATCTCTATATAGATGACGCGGCCTTGTAGCACTCACTGCCCTTATTTCAGGTATAATGTTTTTAACGCTCTCTGCTATTATTTCAGGTCTGACTAGATCTAGATCTACATCTTCTAAGGTAGAAATAGTCGTACTAGCAGGTTTATCTTTCCTGCTGGTGGCTGAACTTGTATTGTGATGTGTTCTAATGTTTTGAATAGCTGATATAGGCCGTGTTCGTCCACTCATGAAATCTAAAAGATTATTTTGCAGTCTTGTGGATACAGTTTTCTGCAAGATCATCATTTACCATTGATTTACTCACCTGATTTTTGACCCATTCGAGCGATAGGAAATCCGGCTTTTTTAAGTTGCTCTTCAGTAGTTGTTAGCTTCATCCAAATTCCAGCAATATTGTCATCCTTCACCTGCTTGATTAGAAAATCTGCTAAAGTTTTAGCAATATCCCAATAATCTATTTCAGGTTGGCTTGTTATATAAAGCTGGACTCCGTGACAGGAGTATTGGAGGGCAGATTTTGTTATATCACTAGTCTACAAAACTAAGAATCAAATAGTGTCATTCCTGATAATTTACTTTTATTGTTTTCTGTTGAAAGGTCATTGCACACTCAATACTGTCGATTTCGTAAATAATGAGATTTTTGCGAAGAAGTGCAAATGAGTTGTCATCCAACTGAGGCATCTTCTCACCCTAAACGAAAATGTATGATAATTAATTTATGAAAGCTATTTTTAGCTTTATAAACTATTTTACACGTCTGTCAACAACGAGCAAGTCAAGTCGACCCAAGATTAAATCACGGAGTTCTTTTGTTCGATTGCCTTGACGTTGTTTACCTAAACATATGAATGAAAGATAAATCATAAGTTAAAAAAAATAAAAAGTTTCTTTCTGTGTGGATTCCACCAGCTATATACTTGCGACTGGAAGGAAAACATGAACATATACACTACGAAACGTCCAGTCCATAAAATTTTCTTATCATAAAGTCTGCTCTCCTTAAGGCCAACCCACCCTCACCCCCGCTCAAAAGTGGATTTTAGCCCAGGAACATCCGAATTGTATGAAACTTCCAGGATATATTGGGACTAATGAACCATAGCTATGGTAAAATTTTCAGCGCGATATCATGATGTTTGGTAGAGATATTCATCAAACAAGGGTTAAAGTTAGCTCTCTCGTAGCGCCAGCAGAAGTCTAGCATAGTAAAAGACGAGTAACAATCGTCGGTACAACTAACTTGACCCTCGACTATATTAGACAGAAGTATATTCCGCACGTGGGTATCGAAAGAATTGATCTACCAGTTTTATCACAATAACTGACTCGAATTTAGATTTCTTGAATTGTAGAAGTCGAAGAAATTGAACGGCCTTTTTGTAAAACAGTTTAGAATAATCTCACTTTTCCGCAAGAGATTGTAAAAACTAGCAGCTCTTTATCCAAGTGCACTTTAACTAATAAATATCGGCAGCAAAATAAACGTTATACTGTTACACACTAAGAACATGATGAAATAAGCTGATATTAGGAGGTAAGATATGCTCATACAATAATTAAGAAACTTGATACTAAAATTCTTATGTTTACGAGCAATAAGCCTCATCCAGGGAAACTCAATCATGAAATAGTTGATTAAGGGAGAACTTATCACATACGTCGCGTTGACTGAATTTTCAGTCTGAAAAATCGAATTCTTTGTAAGCCCAATATTAAAAATGTGAACATCGAACATTTAGCCAGCATGTTGTGTTTTGACGTTTCACCTTTCATTCTGACAAAAACAGACAAAAATTTATTTTATTTCATATAACCTCCTACACTCAAGAAAATATTATTATTTTCTCAAAAAAACGTTTTCTCGTGACCCGAAAAATTCCGCTAAAAATGTTGAGAAACCGAGTTCAGATTCGAATTCTCCAATCTCGATTTAGTTTCGTCGACCTTTATAAAATACCACTATTCTCTTAAAAAATCCTTCCCTTGACCCAAAAAAAAGGTTGATTGTTAGAAACTCCACTATGGGAAACCTCTGATTGGCTCAAATTTATGCTGAAAAAATCTGATTGGCCGAAAGGCTTTTATCAAACAGAGCTAGGCATCTCCATGGCTACGAGTACCAGGTTTGCTACTGTCAATTCTTTTTCATATTGATAGTAGCGGCACCAGGTACTCGTTGCCATGTAGATGCCCAGCTCTGATATCAAAAACCTTTGGTTGGCTCAACTTCGAGCCTGAAAAAAATCTGATTGACCGAAAGCTAATATCGAAAACCTATGATTGCCTGAACAGTCAGGTGGAAAAATCTGATCGCCTCGAAACTCGATATCGAAAACATCTCATTGGCTAAAACTATGGGCTGAAAAAACCTGATTGGTCGCAAGACTCAAATCGAAAATCTTCTTTAAGCGAATGTTTTTTTGACCCTGATGCTCTTCTGATCCTGATATAAACACACACACAAACTCATTTTTTTTTCATACGACACTCCGCACAGTCGAGGAAATAAAATCAAATACTTTTTTGTTTGAAAGAGCATGTCAGAATGCAGCCTCTCTCGGGGCTCTTTGTTTTTTAACTCTTAATTTGTAAGCAAAAAAGAGATGACCAGTTCAATGACTCAAGAAAACCCTAAAAAAAAACGCTGTTTTTATAGAGGTGTTTTCTTATATTCAAATGAAAAGTCTTTTTAAAAAAAGGGCTACGAACGGAGCCAGTCCTCGACACAAGCTTTCAAACAAAAAAAGTATTTGGGTTTATCTTTTATTATGATAAAGCTCTGCTGGCGCTACATTCGTAAACCTACGTTCTGAGAAAAGTGAAAAGTGATGTTTTGTTTTTTTCAAAAACAGCTTATTTTTCGAATAGATGGTGAGGAAAATCTTCCGAAATTTTTGGAAAAAAAAGAGGCACGAAATAAATATTTCTGTCGCAGATGAAAGAGCAGCTGACGGTCTATTTTCCCATGAATTTATCTTAATTTAAATGATTTTCGCGAAATGTGACATTTTTTAGGGCGGGGGTGGTGGTCTTAATTTTGTAGCTGATCAAAAGGAGAGGAGTTGATGCTGATCTATGCTTCCACTTTGGTCATCGAGCACAAATTTTTTGATAAAAATTTTTCAGTTTCATTAAAATAATTACGCTTATTATCTTATATAAACCAGTGTTCTGTTTTTGTCAGTACGAATCGATCCATGGGTTTTATTTGTACACAATATAGAAAAAACAATGTTATGAATTGCTTTCACATACTCAAATCCACGATTTGGTTCCTATATTAATAAGCCTAAGCATGTACTTTGGCGAGTTTAAATTTCTTTTTTTTTGATAAACAAAGTAAAAACTATTCAATTCAGGGCTCGCAGATTTTTCAGTAATTGGGTCCGCTGATGAATATTGATTTTGAATATTCCCATGTTTAAGTATATGATGAGATACTATACAGGTGAGGCTTCAGTACAAAAACAATAATACCTCGAAATGAAAATTTCAGTTCAACACATTCTCGTAGCCACTTAGAACCAAATTTTTTGTACAATTCCTTTAAATCTGGTCGAATAGGAGGACACAAAGGACGGAAATGAAATGCCAAATTAGTATCATCAATCAGATAAATGTTCTTGGGTGCTACAAACTCATACGTCTGTTGCTCATTGTCGTCATCATCATTGTAAATCAATCCGAGACACCACGATTCATTTTTGAGTCTCATGCTTAGTGATGCATCCATTATACTATTAGACATGATACAGTGCTCCAAACGTTTAAGGCATTCCAGATAAATATGTATTTTAAGTTTCTGTGGACGCGAATCATTTTCAAAGAAATCGTCTTTACGATCTAACAGTAGTTGAGCCAATACTGAAGCAACTAGTTCATATTGGACACCTATGTCATGAAGAAACGAGTTACCATCTACACCGAAGTCGACATAATCAATTAATCCACTGGTATCAATCATAGAAGGACCACCTGATAATCCTCCTTTGTTAGAAGAGTTATTCGAACGGAGAAACACTTCGCGTGGCTTCCTTAGTGCTTTGACACCTATAATTTCTAGTTAAATTAGAATGACTCATAATGATGTGTATTACCTTGAAGTGGAATAAAAGCCACTTCAGAGAACTTTTCTTTTAAACCGGATACTGCTCCCTCCAAACTCTTCATGTATGCAAAAACTTCAGAAGCCCATTCGAATGATTTCAGAACTGGATCTTTTCTTTCCATCAGTGTGCCGATCGCTTCGCTCAATGTTGGGTTCTGCCTGACACCGAGTTTTGAGAGATCCAAGTGCTTTATAAACAGCTTAACTACTTGTGGCAAAGGACTGGGACATAGTGGATTGTAATCTACAAGAAAAAGAAAAATCGTAAACTTACTTTTATATTAACAACAAAACAAGGTCCACACTTGTAAAAATCTTTTCTACAGGCATCAATTCTATGCCTTTGTTGTTATTCTCATCATAAACGCCCTTTGGATTAGTCGGCCATTTGGCTGCGATGAAGGACCAATGAGTGTTTTTTTCTTTCCATAATTCTGGATAATGATTTTGAATCTTTCCAGCCAAGAATTGAAGCGGGGGAGGTATAATATATGGCTTCGTGCCTTTTTCCAAATCTTGATTGTTAAAATCGTCAACAATCACTTTAATGAGATGTTCAAGTTTTGGAACTATGCGCACACCAAGCATTCGTAAAAAAGTATAGACTCTTTCATCAGGGTCGCTAGAGGCCAAAACTATCGCAGGCATTGTATTTGATTTGAGTTCTTCTACCGTCCATGGAAAGAGCAATTCGTCAGGACGGTAGAGGCCAACTTTGTCTTGCGATCGTCTTAGTTTACCTAATAAAATGTATAGAATATTTCAAACATCAGGAAATTATAATTGTGCCCATTGGAAATTTCAAGCTGTATTAAATAGATTAATCATCCTTATTCGTGAAAGACTCACCTGCAAAGCATTGGGTTTGTTTCAAGGCTTTGATATCTTCATCGCTCATAGTTTTAGATGATTCCATCAAATATTCAATGAATTGTAGAGAATTTTCCGTGATTGAATCGAATGATCCAGCCAAACGTTTTTGATGATCGATAAATGATTGTACATGAATTGTTCGGCACCCGATGAATTTGAGAAATTGGTCTAAAACATAAGGCTCTGGTTGATTATTCAAGGCAGTTTTACTTCCACCAATGGCTACTATTTTATCATCTTTAACATGAGTCATATCTCGTACGATATTCATTTTAATAATTGTTGGCAAGTCAGATGATATTAGTTTTGAAGGAATATATGCTTCTTTGGGTAATTCCATTCCATTTTTAGTTGGAATACATTTCAGTACTGATAATTTTTGCTTTATTTGATCTTTTATATTGTCTGTTATGTGAGTCCAATATTTTGAAATCAAATTAAATACATATACAACTCCATTTTCATTAGTTAAGATATAGTTTTGATCACTTTTCAAATAAAAATTTAACAGGTCATCAATTGTCAATGGTGTTAATGATAAATGTCTATTAAGATCTTCATATGAAATGTTACTGGCTACTCTAAAAGGAATAACATTCGATGGTAAAGGTAGAACTGATGTTACATTAATTTCATCGTAACGATTTATGTTTTTTAAAGTTATAATTTTTGGACTGAAATTATCACGAAAATAAATGGTAGAGAGTATAGTTTTGATAAATTTTTTATTGTCTCTGCAATCAATACTACATAACCAACTCAAGAGTTCAGAAAATTCATTCTCCAGGAGAGGATGTTGCTTCAGAAAATTTATAATATCATCACAGTTGACAATATTTATTAATTTACGTCGTTTAAGCTCGACAAATAATCCATTATTTAAAAGTTCAAGTGGAACGAGTGGAACTGAAAGAAATGAATGTATATATTTTGAATCAGCAAGATATGACATTGATGATGGTAAAGCCGAAAATGTGGCTGATGACTGTTGTTTCACAGGGACAAAGACGTCGCCTTTTAAAGCGAAAAAGCCTTCGAGAAGAGCAGTACCTAAAATAAAGATTTCAATAAGTACGTTTTTTGTCACACTTTTTCAAGTTTCAGTGATTTAACAGACCGATTTTGTGATCTGGAACTGATTTTTGAAATGAAAATGTTGCAGAGTAAGCAGATAAACGTTGATTAAGTGCAGAGGTGTCCTTCATCAATCGGTCGTAGATAAAACGAATTACTTGTCCCATTGATGAAAGGATTTCGTTATTCCACTTTTCTAAATACGAATTCTGCATATCTAGATTTTCTCGCTCTACTGTAGGTATCAGATGGCTAAAGACATGCATTCCAAGACCTGTTGTCTGATGCGTTACGGCACCAATAAAAACAAGACCCGACGGAATAATTTGATTTTGATTATATTTTACAGGTAGTAATGATTTAAGAATTTTAGTTTCAAGATTGACATTATTCAGTGAATTAGATTCCAGTTTAGAAATTGTCTAGAATAAGATATTTTCAACACTGGATTACTTGAAGAACTTGCTTCAAACTAACTTACATCGTATGGCGCATATAACATTTGAATTCGAATGTTAGGTGGAAGGTTTTTCTTTAGGAGATTTCGAATTTCACCGTGAAATTTTTCGTCAACATTAAGTTTTGCATTAACGTCAACATGTATCAAACTTATTGAGGGGCCATTGGCGATGCAAAAGATTTGATCCGACTCTAGGAATGAGTCAAGAACAAGCATATTCGATATTGAATTTATTTTAAATATTGCTGCTTCCGTTTTCACTGGAACTCTTTGTTTTTTCATTTTATTCACTTGAAATTCGATTTTGTCGTTGATTTCTATAGAAACTTGATTGATATGACTTGTGAATGAAAGTACTATGCGAAGAAAAAGCAAATAATATTTCAGTGAAAATGTATGTTAATGGAATTGCCGGCATATTATAAAGTAGAAAGCAATATTGTTGCTGTTACTATTTATAAAGAGACTACATTATTCTATTGGTTTTCTAGCTTATTTCTTTAGCATCGTTTTTTCTCACCTGTCAGACTTACAATAATACAAATGATTACTACATTATAAAGAACGGTCATAGATATACAAAACATGAGCTATGCATCGGCAATGTCCTTTATGACCTCTGATACAAGTAGCGAGTGGCTCACAAGTTGTTTGTCGTATGAGTAAAAGTCATTCGAAATTTAGGGATATGGAAACATCTAAATTACAATCTACTTGAATCCATTCATATGCGACCTTGAATCCACTCGTGGAAAAACACCCTATATCATCTACATCCACATTCGTTGAATTATTCATAGGCAACTCATTATAAGGAAGAAAAAATAAGAACAGAAAGTAGAGCTATCTCAATTTGTCTAAAGTACAAATCAAAACAAAAAAAGAAGAAGACATTGGCATATGGACAAACAAAGTTGGTCCCATTTATTGAAAAATAGTACAGTATAGCCAATCATATGCAGAGAAGGTGATGTAGAAAAGAATAGTGCTGAATATACAGGAATAAAGATATAATAATGGCTCAAAAGATTGGCAACCTATCGTTCCATATTAAACTGGTCTATTCGACCAACAAGTCCAAAGATTTTGGTGCTTTCCGATTTTTGATGAAAGCCGAGCAGTAAAATATTCAATAGATATATTGTCACTATTTCTAAACAATTTCAATTCCTTTGATAGCGCAAAGCACTCATTCGTGGATATGCGTGAATATGTCGGTAGTTGTACAATTGACTACGGTTTTGTCTTAACACTTAAGCCAAAAACGACACTCAGAGCATCTCGACTCTCACAGATGCACTCAGATTATGTATTGAATCGAGATGCTTCAATCAATTACGAACATATTTGAGCTAATTAAACTTACCTCTAGTAAAATACTCTTTCATCTGGGACAAACTGATTGTTGGTATAACTTCAGTTTTCATTGAATCCATTTTACCTTTTTCAGTTGCTAAAGATGAGCAGGATTCCTCATCACCTTCAGAAAAACTTTGCTCAGCATCAAGAACATATTTATTTCGCATTTTGAGAATAATTGTGGTCATGTGTGATTGCAGCGACTCGGGTAATTGACGCTGATGTGTGATCAACCAATTATCCTTCCAAGTAAATCCCATATATTCCTTACCTGATGCAATTATCGGTTCCTCGGAAAATGAAAAAACAGAGTAAAATCCAACACCGAATTGTCCCACTGCGTCGATATTAGTATTGCCCTCTGCAATCGACGTTACTCGTTCCCAATCGACGTTAGTAAAAGGTTCTCCGTCGTTAGCTGCATGGATTTCAGTGATAATGCTTTCGTGTAAGTTTTTCTTTTTTGGATCAGCATATTCACACGACAATTTTAAGCTGAATGATTTAGCTTTAGCATCATCAGCATTTTGAAGAAGTTCTCGAAAGACGGCAAAGTCCGATGAATATCGTGCGAGTAGCTTATCGACTAGCATGCGATGATTAACTTTGACGACGGATTCAACGCCACTCTTTTTAGCTTCAGACATAAGATTCTCCGATGAAAACATTTCGAACATGAAGTTGGAGTAGTTGCTGGTTATGTTTTTAAAAATATCTAAAACTAATCAAATGGAATTAGTTTTCAACATATGAATTACAATATGTGTGCACAGTCAAAAATACAGGATATACAGAAACGCCTGACTGCAGCATTCTTTTTATTTCGTGCATGAAAACTTTATAATAACTCTGTGCAACTTAGAAGTCTGATACAAGCATTGCAGCCACTAATGTTCATCAATAATTGCCAAGGCAATGGGCATTTATTTATATCTACTTTCATTTGCTGTGGTTGATTGATGCGTTCATTGATATAATGAATTGTGTGCGCGTTTGCATCGATTAAAAGTTCAATAATGTCGTTTTCACAATTACCATAATTAGAAAATATATCATTATTTTTCCATACCACACCGCCGGTATAATAATGATTATGAGCGATCCAACCGTAGGATGATAAAGATCGATAAGAGTCTTTTTGTACGGGAGTAGTTTTCGAAATAATACCGATAAAGATCCACGTTGAAGGTTTTTCAATCTTAAATCGCAGTCGGTATCGACTAGATGTATATTCGTTTCCACCACGAACTTCTCCGCTACTCATAGATGTACCGTGTGAAACAACAAATCCATTTTCTTCTATTCGAATATCGCCAAAACATTGTTTAAAGATTTCAAGAGTAGACAATGAATTTGATTCAAAGTATGATTTTGGCATGGATTCTTTGTAGGAATCAGTTGGAATGTTAGAGTAACTTTGAGATGGATGTGAATTATCAAGTAATATATTCCTACTATACGCTAAACGAAGAAATAGAAGTGAAAAACTGATTAGAAGAGTTAACTATAGCACCGCAAAATGGGTAAATGCGTGGGTATCGGAAGTGCTATTTTGAATGGCACAGCTAGACCCTTGAGAAAATGAATAAGGAAATCATACGAAACCTGCTAAGACATTAAATTTCGAAATAAAGTAGATCTTCAAAATTAACATAATATTAATAATAGATACTTCAATAATTCTGTTAAAATATATATGGTGTATGTCTATTAATTCTGACGGTCAGAAAAGATAAGAGCTATAGCTAGGAAAGATCGTAAACAATAAATCTGTGACATTGATTTCTAGTCTTCTTCTATTTGTAGCATCGAAAATAGTTATTCGATAATGCTAATGTACACAAATTTGCTCTGTCTCACATTTTCGGATCTGTGTTTTTTTTAATAAAATATTTACTTTTATCTCACAATGGAGGAGTCTGTATGGTAAGTGAGAGAGAATTCACTTATTCTGGTCAAAATAAAGCCGTCATCCTCAAACTAACAAATTCAAAATGTGCCGTGCTTACGGCTTGCATATGGTAAGATATTCGAATTTCAAGCTATTTACTATTTAGACATAAAAGGAGAAAACATAAAAATTATTCATATTTATCTATTTTTTACCGTTTTGATTTTCAAGCCGTAAGTATGTAACAATGTGCATGGCGCTTTATTTGAATTTCGTGACACCTCTTTTGTTTCCTGTTTATCAAGGCACAGAAGGTATGAGAGATATAGGATATATAGAAGGTATTGCAGATATTGATTACTAGGTGCAGCTGATCATTCAATAGTGTTTGAATGTCAATATCTATTCATAAAATGTAATGGTGCCACTTGCCAAAACTTGCTCAAAAAATCCATTCCTATACCTTCTATATAGGCCCATACTTCATATACATCCTATACATCCTGTACCTTGACAAACAGGAAACAAAAGGAATGTCAGAAAATTGAAATTTCCCGAAAATTCCAATAAAGCAGCATACGTAGGACTACACACTTACGATTTGAAAATCAAGAAAATAAAAACATAGATAAATATGAATAATGCTTATATTTTCTCCTTTTATGTCTAAACAGTAAATAGCTTGAAATTCGAACATCTTACCATATGCAAGCCTTAAGCACGTTATATTTTAAATTTACTAGCTTGAGGATGAGAGCTTTATTTTGGCTCAAATAAGTGAATTCTCTCTCACTTGCAATACAGACTCCTATTTTGTAAGATACGCATCTTCAAGTTGATCACATCTATTTTGATTGACTTACACCCTGATTTACGATGTTCATCAATATGTAATTTCTCAGTTAGTTTTCTTGGTATTGAAGTTTTATATTTTATTGATTTTTGTTTATATTCAACGCTTTTGTCATAATCATGAACAAGAGCTGCAATTTCACCAAGATCTTCATATAAATGGCCAAGCGAAGGATGATCTGGTAGAAGTTGATTCAACAAACGGGTTAAGTAAAACTCAGCTAGGTCTAGTTTTCCCATTTTCCACAATACTTTTCCCAACGTTCGAAGATCTGTTTCGCCACCACCACCCAGCTGCTGCTTCATCTTCGTGAGGACATCTGTAAAATTACTATCATTCTCGCTACATAAATTCATTCGAATAATCCATACTTGTCCGTCATTACATTGACTGATATTTTCCAAACGAAAAATGCAACCAACCATAAAAAGAATTTCTGATTCACCTGGGAATTCACTTAATGGACTAATATCAGCGAATGGTTTTGTAGTAGCTACTTGAGAATCAACATTAATTTCAAATAATACTTGTTCTAAACAGACTACAGTACTCGAAACATCGAGAAACTGACGGGCTTGTGCCTTGCTAGTACTAGTAGAAAAGAATGAATTAGTGGAGATAAAGTGTCCACAGGAGTTTTGTAATGTCTCCAGCTCGTCATGAGATATCAATTGTCCTCGATGGAGACAGAAATGTCCCTTTGCTTGATAATTTTTCAATTGCCGTTGAATGTCACAGATAAATGAACGAAATAAAAATATCATATGAATATCCTCTGTGCGCAATGCAGCATTCAGAGTTTTGTGAAAAAACGTATTTCTTGTGTACCACCATACAGCTGTATCAGGTGTATACTCTTTTTCGAATTCATGAAGATTATTCAATTCAAATTGATTACCTTCATACACCTTTCTACAACGATTAACTAGTTCTTTTTTATCTTCCTCACTTGATCTAAGTCGTAGAAGACACTCCATAAGCACTTGTGAAAAAACAAATTTACCATTGACATCACCTGTTGATTTGCCTGAAGTATAAATATTTATTGATAAAGGTTGCTCAATAACTTGTTGAACTTTATAATCGGCTTTCAAATGAGAAATAATCCTATCAAATTCAGTGACAACAGCTTTGACCTAAGAAATACAAAAACAAACATTAAATAAAGTCGAAATTATTTAAGATACTGTTACTTTTGAATATTTCTTAGACCATTCTCTGCTAGCTGTCTCATCCATGCAATACACGTAAATTGATGTTACTTGTCGAATCGTATGAATTCTTGGAACAATTTTTTTTCCTAGTCTACCACTAACAATTAGTATTAATCTATCTTCCGTAGATCGTTCGTTTATATATTTTTGACATTGATCAACATCTTTGAATCGCTTAAGACGATTTATGATGCAACGTAAGTTTTGTTCATTCTTTCGATGATTACTGCTATCTACGTTATCATCAAGCCAGATAAGACAAAAAATTTCGAGCCGTTCGTCGTCAATCTTTGTAAAGGTGTCTTTAGTGAATATAGTTGATATAGCCATTAATTCTCCCAAAAAACAATTCTATAGTAAACTACAAGCGTTCCTTTGGTTTGGTCGTTTAATCTAAATGGGCTTTGCTCATAATCTAAAGCAAATATTCAAAATGGTCTCCGAGAGCACCGAAGGACTTTGTATGAAGACAGCCGAAGAAAAAAGTTGGTTCCCATTCTGATTATCTTGACCGATTACTCATCACTAGAACTATATCAATCCAAAATATTAAACCTTTCTGAAACTTCTCAGAAAAATACCAGAGTATACAAATGACGAAGATCTTAGAAAATCGATTAAAAACGTGACGTTTTCCAAGCAGACGAAAATTTCATAGCACGCATTTAATCGCCACAAAAATCGACTTCTATGGTGTTTAAACGCTCACTTTCGAAAGTGGTCGTGCAATCGTCAACTGTTTTCTAATTCCTAATGTTGAAACAGACCACAATTTCCGATCGACTATTTTTTATGCGTGAAAACGGTAGAATTCTGCATGTTTTGATAATGTAAACGCTCTTTTTTTCGAGACAACATGCTAACGTGTCAAACGCCTTAATATTCAACATTTTGCCGAAGGAGGCTTTTGCCGTTTTCACAACATGAGTGTGGGTGTGGAGTGTGGGTGGGTGGGTGTGGAGTGTGGGTGGGTGGGTGTGGAGTGTGGGAGGGTGGGTATGGAGTGTGGGTGGGTGGATGTGAGTGTGGGTGTGGGTGTGGGTGTATCTAAAGATAAGAACCATATCCACACCCACACCCACACCCTGAATAAATCGCTAGTCAGTACGTGAGACGGAAGCAATGCTGACACCACCGTCTGTAAAAAAGAAAAAAGGATAGAAACAGGTTGCATGTGGACTCTAATAATAATCGCAGCTGGTCCCAACGGGCGATCAGCCTATGGGAGATTATTGTGTTAGAAGAAATGCTAGTGCTGATTTGTGGCGATTTTATGAGGGCAGCTTAGTGGACAATGTTGTTTGATACAGGTTTCGAAATCGTTTCCTAATGGTTTTGTGTATTGTATATTGTTATTTTAATTTGTGTCTATTATTTATTCCGTGTTGAGATGTTTTGTAGTGTTGAATATGGCATTTTATGGGTTATCAAGAGTGGGAACCGATTGGATTGCGTTACTATGGTTAATTTTGGCTGCCGAAAGTGGTTTCTGATCGGTTTACGTTCCGACAGTTTCCGATCTGATGTGTTCAGAAGGATTCGATAGGATTTGCTGCAAGGGGGAAACCGCGGACTTCAAATAGAAAAGTAGGCCAAAGTACAGTGGACGTCAAAAGTCTCGCACCACTTTTTTGTTTTGGGTCATATA